GCCTCCGCGAGCCTGAGGCGGGCGAGATCCCGCTGCAACGTCGCACTGCGACCAAATCCCGGATGCGCGGAAGAGGGGAAACCGGGAAGAGGTTAGCGCATCAAGGCCCTAGGCTTAAGTCGGGCATGTCCCTCTGCAGGAGGAGTACTTAAATACAGTATTATATAGATACACGCATATGTATATATGTATGTATATATATGTATATATGTGTGTGTGCATGTGTGTACATATATGTATATGTATATATAAATAATATATATATATATATATATATATATATATGCGCACCCCGGGGCCCGCGTGTCCTCCTCTCACCCGTCCGCTTCGCGGCAGGGCTCGACCTGGGCTTAGGTCGGGCGTGTCCTCCAACAGGGGGCATGTTGGACGAAAAATACAACACGTATCCCCCAAAATATTCAAACATAGTTAAACAATAGTCGAAGACTTGTTCCCACACTATCTTTTTACTACTTTTGAAAATTCCTCCTGTAGAGGGACAGCCCCGATTTAAACCTGGACAGAGTTTGTGTCCGCTTTCGATCGATGTGCTTGCGTGCTCCCTCGCTCCGTCTTCGTCCCGCCTCTGCCGCGAACGAGATCACAGCGAGAACTGGGATGAAGCCCAGACGAGGACACAACATCGGGCGAGGATGGATCGGGAATCTCTGAGATCTTCGGCGCCTCTGGAAGACGTATCGGGCGCCGCGGCCTTCTCAAAGCGCTGCTCTGGAACGGAATAATCCTCGCCCTTGCCCCGTACGAAGAGCGGCCCAAGAGATCGCCAAGACACAGCTTAGCTCGAGCCCTGCTTCGTTTGAGCAGGGACCGACCGTCCCGGCATTCCTGTAGTCATACCAAGAAATGTTCTTAGAACCCAAACATGTTCGAAGAACAAAAACAATGTTCTTAGAACATAAACCCGATGTGTTAAAACAAGACAGTCCCAGCCAGAAATGTTCTAAGAACATCCCGTGGGAACCACAAAAGGTTCTTAGAACATTGTTTGGTAGGGCTATCGGCGAGCCAGGACGCTTCGCCACTGCTTGATTCGTGGCGTGGCTGGGGGGGCGACCGACGAGGGAGGGCCGGCTCACGTCGACCTGGAATTCGGCGATACGTCGCCGACAGGTCGGCGATGGGCCTTAGATTTAAGTCGGGCGTGTCCCCCAACAGGGGGGCTTTCGACGAAAAAAATATTCCAAAAATGCTCAAAAATGGACAAAAAAATGCTCAAAAAATAGTCCCCCTATTATTTTTGGACTAATGTTGGACTATTTTAAACATATTTTTCAATTTTTCGTCGAAAATCCCCCTGCAGGGGGACAGGCCCGACTTAACCTTAGATAGCGAAAACGCACGGTCCTGGATGGAGTGGGCCATCGCTTGGTGGGCCCTGGAAACGACAAGGCAATTCTGATACCGACGCTGTTTTTCTGCTGGCTCCGTCGCCGTTTCGTTACCGTTTTTGGCTCCGGCTCCAATGCTGGAGCCGTTGTTTGCCGTTTCCGGTCGCCTTTTTTGCCGCTTTCATTTTCAAGAGACACTTCTTCGGAAACGGTGGAAAAACGGCCCTGCCGTTACCGGGGCCCACTAAGGACCATCGGGCCCCCGTCTGCGAGGCAGGGATTTATCCATATCCACCGCCTGGAAGTCGACGCCCCGGTACCCCGGCGGGTGGTGGATATGGACATCTTGTTTGGCCCCTGGGGGCCAAGTTGTGTCCATAGCCGTCGCCCGCCGAGGACCCTGGAAATTGATCCTCCGGGTGGTGGTCACCTACAAATTCCCGCCTCGGACCATCGGCGGGCGACGGGCGATCGGGGGTCGATGCATCCCCCCCCCGAGCCTGCCCTCTCCGGACCTCACGCTGCCCCTGAGAGAGGCGTGGGCTCGAGGTGCGAGGTGTTCGTCGGGGGGTGCCCAAGAGGGGGCGTGTAAGAAGCAGTTCCCGAAGGCTGGCCCGAGGCACGTGCGCGGCCCAGGGGGGGTGTGCGAGGATGCGGTGCAAAAAAGAAGGGGGGGCGATGAGATCCGGAGGGATATCATGGCCCCAGCCATGATATCAATGATATCCCACCCCCGTAGTCATCACCCCCATCTTGGTCGCCCCCCGAATTTCAGCTCCCTCGACCTCTCCTGGAGTCCGTTCTGACCAGAACTGCGAGGCGAATCTGGCCGTGGCGACGAGGGCCTCCAAGGAGGCCCAAAAAAGCGAACCTTACTCAAGGGAAGGCGGTACATGTATCTTTTGACGCCCTAGTCATCGGAAGCAGAAGCGGAAGCGGAACGCTGGAGGCGTGCGCGCTCTGATGGGGAGCCAACCCGTGTCCATCAGGGCATGGCGTGGAGGCCGTAACCTCGAATATGATTAGCATCAGAATTCGTGCATAGTGTTGCTGTGGATGATCTTGCCATCGCCCCCTTGCCTTGGAGGCTTAGAAATGGGCACCAACACTTACACAGAGCGGTGCCCCCACCAGGGGGAGATGACCCTGGGCTTTGGTGCTGGAGATAATCGCTCAGCCGCCAATGGCATCAGTACCTTCTGGACTTTTTGGGGGGGTAGCTGTGAAGCTGTTCCAGGAGGGGCGGCATCGGTACCTTCTGGACGCCCCCGAGAGGGCCCTCTTTTGGACGCTCCCGACGAGGGCCGCCCGGTCGAACCCCAGAGGCCTTTACCCATTCCCCAGGGCCAGCCTTGCATCCTGAGTCGTTTTCGTTGACGGCCCCGAGGCCCAAGACAGGGCTCCCAGGGGCCGAGAACAGCGACACGCCCTCCGTCGTGATTTTGGGTCCCTGACTCGAGGAGGTCTCTGGGCTGCAGGTCCCCGACGGTCCGCCCCCCCTGGAGGAGGAGGAGGAGGAGGAGGAGGAGGAGGAGGAGGGAGGCGAGGAGGAGGAGGAGGAGGAGGAGGAGGAGGAGGGAGGAGGGGGAGGAGGAGGGGAGGAGGAGGAGGAGGAGGAGGAGGAGGAGGAGGAGGAGGAGGAGGAGGAGGAGGCGGGAGGCGGAGGAGGAGGAGGAGGAGGAGGAGGAGGAAGGAGGAGGAGGAGGAGGAGGAGGATCAATCAATCAACCATTGCGAGCCTCTGTCACCCAGCAGTCCTGGTGGCATCTGCAGGCTCTTGGATGCGAACTATCGCCTACCAGCGGCCGACGCTGGAAGGATGGCCCTCTCAGGCCGAAGCGGGACCGCTGTAAGGGGAACGCCCAGCGGCCCGCACGCGGCACCATCCTTCGTGAAAAGGAACAAGCTCGGGCGTACAGAGCGGGAGAAGGAGGGAGGACGAGTGAGCAAGGTCGCAACGCTTGTCACTGCTTTCTTGCAGACTGCCTGGGACAGCAGAGTACCGAGGATGTCCTCGGCTGGAGACACAGAGCAACGGGAATCAAAATCTGGCGGGGCATTCCTCTACCAGTCCGCAGAGGACCCAGAGCTCTGGAACAACCTGCGCCGGCTATTCGCCTGCGCGGCAGTGCGGGCCAGAGCATCGGCCAGAGGAGTCACTCCGCTGGCGGCATGGGATTAGGGTGGAGGTATCTACTAGCAACACGGTTGCTCTGATTCGGCACTGTCTCAACATTGACTTCTATTCTGCGGACCTGCTCACTACGCTGCTGAAACTCTTCAAATGACATGATGGCGGGAGGGTCTGCACTTCCAACCTGATGCAACAAGACACTGCGGCTGCCGTTAAAATACCTGAGGATGGGGTGGTGAACGCGGGCCTGCAGGGCCTGTAATTGTATGCCCGTGAGGCGGCCTTCCCTATACATCTCTGCCATACGCTCAGATCCGTTCACTGCTTCAAGACGCAACGGCCTCAGAACCCCTCCCCGTCCTGGTCGCTGTCTACCTCGATGGGCTGCCTGTCGTTCTCGATCCCCATGCGCTTGAGCAACTTCTCCGCCTCTCTCTCCAGCGCCCCCTTGGGGGGTCCGCCCGCCTTGTACTCCCCGCCCTGCTTGAGAATCGCCATGCAGAAGGCCTGGTGGAGCGGGATCGTGTTGGTCTGATCTGAGGTGTTCCTCACTCCGTTGACCTGGGAGTTGGGGCTCATCATGAACTGGAGCTTGAACCTGGTCGGCTTGTCGTCCTTCTTGCGGTCGTACCAGCAGCCCTTGATGCGCAGGAACCTGATCTGCTCCTGCAACTGGATGAGGCCCTCCTGCTTGCTGAGGCTCGTGATCACCCCCCAGTAGGTCTTGAACGCCTTGATCGTCGGCTCGTCCAGGTCCACCATCTGGCAGAAGTGCTTCAGGAGAGCCAGGAATACGTGCGGCCACGGGGGGCCGTTGCCGTGCTGCTTGCCCTTCTTCTTGCAGTCCTGGGCGTAGGCCTTGCCCGCCTGCTGCATGATGTCGATCAGCGGGGCGCCCGCGGGGAGCAGAAAGCACGTGAAGCAGGCGCCTGTGAGGTCGGCGAGCTCCCTGGAGTTCGTGATGCTGAGCTTCGTGAGGATGGCGAGCAGCGCCTTGAAGTTGCCCATCTTGAGCCCGTCGCGCTTGACCTGCTCGGCCAGCCGCCCCTTCTTGTTCTCCTGGGCGTCCGAGGTGTCGCCCATCTCCTTGCGCTTGTTGGCCGTGCCGATGATCATCCAGTCTGGCGCTGACGCCATCTCCGAGCCTCCTGCTGCCTCTCGCTCGTTGGGCCTCGCCGCTGCTGCCGCGCCCTCTCCTGGCATCGTCGAGTGCAGGGAGGTGGAGAAAATGCGTACGGATGTGGGCTCGCAGCGGAGCCCCAGCAAGAATTTGAGCCTTACACAATGGGCACTCATCTGTGTTGTCCTGGCCTGGATGTTTGAAGGTCGTGCTTCTGTGTGTGACGCATATACCCGTTTCGTAGGAGTCGATGAGGTGCTTATAGACCGAGTTACGGCTCTCGAAAACGCTCTCGCAGACAAAACATACATTAGAAGTAACTGCCAGCCCAAGGATAGATCTGAACTCATGCCCCCTGCTGAGATGAACCAATAGCTGCCTGGAGGTATGGAAAGAACGAGTACAGCCTGGTACTGGACATGGTAACATATCTCCTGCTGCTTGTGGCGGGTCGGGTCGTGATTCCTGAGGATGAGGATGAGTATGTCCAGGAGGGGGGATAGCTACACTTAACCACTTAGCTCGCAACTTCTTTGGGTCAAACTGGGTAAACCATTCGACTAAACTCTCCTCCTGGAATATTCTCAATGGACTGCTATCAAATTCTTGTACGTGTTCATATTCGTCATCTCCTAAGTCAGCCAGGGAGTTAATATCTGATATTACTCTACGAGCCCAGGGGCAAGCATCTTCTGTAAGACGCTCGTCCTGTCCAACGATCTGCAATCCTCTCTGCGACTCGATTTGCATGGTGCCAAACAAAGCTGCCCATTCTGCCAGGTGACGATCAGGTTGTTGGACCCAGCGCTGATACCACTTGATGCGCCGTGCGCGCAGTTCGATCTCAAGTGGTGCCATCTTCCAGTACCTACAAACCTCTTCGTTACTGATCGAAACCTTATGCCCATTCTGCTCCTTAGTGGCCAGCCCTCGCATAGCACGTCTAGCCGGGCAGAGGCCCTTCGGAGGGGGCGGGCACGAGCACGAGCATGAGCGGGGGGGGGCGGCGGCCTCAGCGCAACGTCGCATGGCGTCGATCTCGGCCTCCAGCTGGGCCTCCGGCGGGAGGAGGGCGGGAGGGGGGCGGGAGGGGGGCGGGACAAGCTAGGTGCGCAGGAGCGTCATATCTGACGTCCTACCCCTCCCTCCAACCCCTTACCATGGCGTAGATCTCCTCTCTATTCGCACAGTCGGATGTCGAGCAGGTCAATGATCGCGAGAGGGTGCGCGATGCAACATAGAGCACTGCCTGGGAGGAGGGCGAGAGGACGGACGGACGAAGGGGTCAGGAGGAGGGGAGGAGGAGGGAGGTGAGGAGGGAGGGACGGAGCACGGAGGCGGGAGGGAGGAAGGATCGTCGATCCCTCCTCCTGCCTCCTCCGTCCCCCTCCCTCTGCTCCACAGTCCTGGACTGAGAAAGCGAAGCAGGGGGACGGAGGAGAAGGAGGGATGGACGAGGGAGGATGGGGGATGGGAGAGGAGAGGAGGGATGCATGGATGGAGGGGGAGGAATTGAGGAGGAGAAGCAAGAGGAGGAGGAGCAAGAGGAGATGGAGGAGGAGGAGGAGGAGGAGGAGGAGGAGGAGGAGGAAGAAGGGAGAAGGGCGAAGGACGGAGGAGGGGGAAAGGGAAACGAGAGAGGGCGGGGGAAGATGGACGATCGGGGGGGGGAAGATGAACTAAGTCAGGAATGACAAGGAATGAGGAGCAATGGCGAGGGATTCGGAGGACGGCAGAAGCGGCAAGAGGAACGACAAAGGACGAGGAGGAGGAACGGAATGATGGCGATCGGAGGAGCACGAGGAAGGCGAGGGAGGGAGGAATAATGACTGGGGATGAGGAGGAAGCTGACAAGAAGTTAGTATCATGCTTCCTCTTCTTCCCCCAGCGCAGCACAGCGCGCGCACACACACACACACACACACACACACTCACACACACACACACACACACACGCCACACACAGACACACCACACCACACACACACACACACTCCAAAAGTTATGATTTCCATCTGTCGGTCAGGCGAGCGTGCATTCAGCGTGGCCGATGGAGGGGCCAGGGGACGAGCAAGAGACAGTGCAATAGAACAAAACACAGGCAGCGAATGGTTTGATGGGGGATCGGAGGAGCAAGAGAAAGAAGAGACATCGGACGAAGGATGAGGAATGACGAGGGCGGCCAGGGAAACAGCATCCACCCTATCCTGGTGATCCTCTCATGATCCCTCTCGTCGTCGTGGCCGTCGCCGTCGGCCTCGTATCATGATCATCATCTGCATCATCAGCATCATCATCGTCATCATCATCGCCACCATTATCGTCAACATCATCATCAGCATCATACTAATCATCATCATCAGCATCATCATCAGCATCATCATCATCATCCACATAAGCAGCAGCAACAACAGCAGCAACAGCAGCAGCAACATCAGCATCGGCATCATTACCATTCTCATCATCAGCATCAGCATCGTCATCCACACCATTATCAGCATCCTCATCATCATCAGCTGAGCATCATCATCGTAATCAGCATCGTCATCATCATAACACTCGTCGTCACCATCATCAGCATCCTCATCAGCAGCATCATCATCATCGACATCCTCACCACCATCGTTGTTCGTCGCGCGCATTCTCGGACGTAATCCTCATACCCATATTCAGCATCATCGACGTCAGCATCGGTATCATCATCATCATCATCATCATCATCATCATCATCATCATCATCATCATCATCATCATCATCATCATCATCATCATCATGGTCATCACCATGATCATCATCGTCATCATCATCATCATGATCATCATCATCGGCAGCATCATCAACAACATCAGCATCAGCATCAACATCATCATCATCATCATCATCATCATCATCATCA